ATAACATCAAATCAATAATATTGATAAATTACAGCTGAATAGCATCAACATAAAATAAGCTGAATGTCAGAAGAATTAGGAAAGGTAATAGTACAAATTCATGAGTTTATAGTCTCTACTGTTTCGAATGGTTTCAAGTTCGTTGACGGGTTGAAGCGAAAACCAGGAAATAATGGACAGCTGTTTCAACCAAGTTTTAGAAAGTTCAGAGGCATTGATTTGTCACCCCACCAGGGATCGATTACAGGACCTTCAGGTTACGAGGTCAGCCATTCAGCTCTCAGCCCTGTGCAACAGAATTCTAACTTTCATCGATTGCTGATTTGAGCCCAACCGTTAACTAATGTCATCAGTGAGTATTTGTCCTCAAATCTGACATGGCAGGTCACTCTGATCAAAACTTTTCCTCAGAAATCGAGACAACTATATCCTGCAGTTAGCTGGCCTATACGAAATGAAAGCGTTTAATGATCAACCACTTTATTTACATGTCTTTCCATGCAATTTCATTGAGTAAATATGCCTGAGATTTATATGCAAATTGATATAAGTGAAAAGAGCTGCCTACACGCATGCGTTGCTACTAGGTTTTAATATTCATTGTAATTTAGGCAAAATTGCCAGGCAAGTGTGAAGAATAAAGCTGCAATAAATGTATTCAACAGTCAACAAACAGATTCGTTCTTCAGAGAACAGAAGAATTAATCTCAGTACTTACTGGTAAGAAAAATATTCAAATTGCAGGTATTTTGTGCATAAGATAAAACTTTTAATTAACACGTGAAACTTGTGTATGAAAAACGGATTAACTCGACTGACAAAGTGTTTCAAATAAAACGTTTTTGCCTGTTAAAGAAAAAGTGGACTGGCAAGCACGGCGAAGTTAAACTTTAAGCACCACTAACTACCAGTGCGGTGCGAACGCACCACTGACCTAGAAACGCTCTCTGAGCAAGTTAGTGAAACTTGGCAAATAATGTTGTCATCATCAATAAAATATGCTCATCGAAGTGTTATGCTATTAAATGGGATATCCGGCAAGTTTCAGCTTAGGTTTGGGAAAGGTTGAGTTACGGTTTAAGCCAAGGACAAGTTAGGCTTAAGTTAACGTAACAAAGGAGAGAGTAGGTTCGGTTCGAGTTAGATGAAAGTTAGTTCAGGGATATTTTCACATTAGGGTTAGGTTCAGGAAAGATTCGGGTTATTGTTAGGGTTAGAAGACCTAAATAATTACATACATAGAATGTGGTCTAGAACTCGTGCTCTGTGGAAGGGTATAATTCTATTGTGAGTAAAATTTATTTTGCTAAACTCTCAGGGTGTTATACAGTAATATTTACTGATGACGTCGCCGGCCCATTTTATTGATCAGTAAATATTACTGTATAACACCCTGAAACTTTATCAAAATAAATTGTACCCATTATGGAATTTTACTCTGTTGATAGTTCAGACTAAAACTGAGAGCTGCTTTTTATCACATGTGAGAGGAAGGTATCCTCTTTTACAATTTTATACAGTTTTTATGCATTTTTTCATAAACATGCATTCCATACACCAAAAATGCCTCCTTCACGTGATTGGTGCATTTGAAGTCATTCGCTGATTGGTTGTTAGTGGTGCTTAAAGTTTAACTTTGACGCAAGCACTACTGATTGATATGATTTGTATACAGCTATTCTTCTTGATCAATCAATAGTATAAAGTATCAAGCATTTATGCTGCATTAAAGATAACCATATACGGTATGAAGCAGATTACATACTTTTATCTGAATAATTTTGATTTCCGAAGGAAACTGTGCTCTGAAATAATCACCTCGAACTGTTCAAATTGCAAATCAATTTACAAATGATGAAGTCGATCGATAAGTTCGTCTATTTTTCTCCAACTAAGAATAGCGCAGAGATGGTAGCGGAAACGCCATGCAATATACTCAACAACACTAACTGAATAAAATCTATTAGACCATAAAGAAAAACAAAAAGACGGTTGCAACAAACAGGATTTTCTTCTCAACGAAATCATCAGCCAGACTGTCCACTCTTAGTAAAGTCCCAGAATAAATTCTGCTTAGAGGTTAAAATGTAAAAAAATAATCAAGTGAAGTTACGTTTCTTCTCCGCGATATTTTTGGCTTTCTCATGGATAAGATACCTCAATATAGGAAACAACTTCAAATATATAAGTATCCTCGACTAAGTTTTGACTTTATTTTTTTAGAAATTATCCAAAATTTGTAGGACTTAAACCAGTAGAATCATTGAACATTGACAGCATTCCTGTGGTGCAACTGCATATTTCTTTTGCATAACTAACTCATAGTATACGTAATAACACGTCATCATCATTGTTGAACAAGTACAAGAAAGCCACAACAATTAAGGAAACAAATGTACAATCAAAACATGTCACCATACACTAGCGATTGATTGATATGAGTGATTATGTAACAACAAAAGACAAGGGCCAGGCAACAGATCGTTAATTGAGAAAATCAACAGATATTTAAAGATTTTTATGTACATTATTATTCGTTATTGTTAGAAGGGAAGCAATGTCTTCTGATCGGTTGTTTCCTTGCTGCCTGTGACCGTTTCTTAGAAAGTCCGGTAGTATATCTGAGAATGGTATCCACCCACGCTAAGTCTGTTGTGATTGGTTGTTGCGTTCCTCAAGGTTAGGCTTTTTCTTGTTTTTTCTCATGACCCCGATTTGGGACGTTAACATTGACGTGAATTGCTGTCTACCAACTTTGGTTAGCAGACAGCTCTCACCACAGTTGTACACCACTCACAACAACCAATAATGTTTTCGAAGCAGATTATTAAAGTTACCTAAATACCATACACCGTCGTTATTGGCAGTGTACTCAGTTCAAAATACCCGGTCTCTGAAAATTGAGAATTTAATTTAGTCGAAACAATTTTTTTAAATTGTCGTTATATTTCGTCATAATGATCTTGGCTTCTTAAAAATGAATTATCCTCACATTTAGTTACTGACGAAAGTACACTTTATATGTATGTAACAGTGTGAATTAAATTATTGAAGAAACTGTATTACAAAATATTACATGAAAATCGATCAGCATATATTCCATAAAACATAAAATGTGATTATGAATTATTGCACTTCTCTATTTCCACATAATTGAGTTCTAGTAACAAAGGACATATAGAAAATTTCTATCGATATTATTCCCTTAAGCAACACATCTCCACTTTGTTCTCTTCTCTTCTGTCCTCCTCAGCTAGGTGCACGATTGCTCATTGACCCTCATCATATCCAATGACACCATCTCCTCCATATCACCCTCATACTGACAACCCACTCGTTGCTTCCCATTCGGGTTCCAATCCAACGATGATCTGGCGCGCGACATCACTCGATGGCCTCCTCAACGTATGCCCATTCCATCCCCATTTCCTCCTACATATTTGTTGCACAGTCGGCTCATGGTTGGTTTGTTGTCAGAGTGTTTTGTTGCTAATTCTTTCTGTATGGCCTGCTGGCCATTTGATCTTCAGTATACAGTCAGCGAAGGTGGCAGGTGGTGTTAAAAGTCTTCAACTTGTTGCAAATCCTTCTTGTGACGGGCAGTACAAGATTCTGACTGGCCGACTTCACACTGATGTTGAACAGAATCCGAACCTTGTTCTTCATGGTGGCTAACTGAGTGCATCAAATTTCCAAACTGGTTTCATGTTGATGAAGGTGTATCTTGCCTTTTCGGTTATGGCCAGCTTTGACATCTCCATCTGCTCCGCTGGCCTGTGGTTGAAACAATGCTTCCTAGATTATTGAAGGAAGTAATCTCTGGCAAATCTCTCCCACTGATGGTGACGGGTGATGTTGGTTATTGCTATTCGGCTTAAATGTCATTTTATTATTTATTTACCCAAATCACTAAACACGATATTTATGCGTATTAATTCCAAGCTGTCAAAGCTGCTAATATCAAACTAAAACAACTACTAGGTTGCTAAAGGTTGAGCAGAAGAAACAACTAGCTATTATGTCATTAACATGTAACTTATCGATGTTGAAAAACTCAAAATTTTCTGGTACAAAATCCTGACTTTAAAAGCTGATGGTATCAAAATAAAACTAATCAATTACTAAATATTAATCAACCTATTGTTCCCCTTAATTTCCACATTCGAAAAAATCTGATGATAGATCACTTTTGCAGTTTAATGACTAATACTTTTTCTCAACACAACATGTAGTCAAAATATCATAAATTAATAAAAAGGAAACATAGTCTGAATGTACCTCTAGACAGGGACCATTAGAATTAGCTAAACAGACATATACTCATATTTCAAGGTTGTTCTGTTATTACTGCTCCAGAAATTAAGATCGGTAGGTGTTCTTACATACAGCCACCCTCTGAACAAATAAAATTCATTCAAAGTCTGCTGAGATGGTGTGTAACCCAGCTTTCCGACTTCATTTTAAATTTGACCGATGGAATACAAATAGAACCAATCGTACGAAATTTCTCAATCCCCGTAGACTAATCAATGAACTTAAGAAGAATATTATTTTTAGTTTATTATCAACTGGATTCCAACATATTACTCACAGGCATGATGTGGGTCTGCAGACGTTCATCAGTATATGCCTCCGCTCCATACTGAAGATCAGATGGCTAAAAGGATCGGAAACAAGGAATTCTAGTAAAAAAACAACCAAGAGCCACACCTCTAACAGATATGCAGAAGGAAATGCAGACAGACTTGACACATACTGAGAAGAGACGTTTGAGTGACATCAAGCATCAGGCCATCACTCAAGTGGAATCCAAATAGGCAACAACGAGTTGGATGCGTATCCCAGGATGACGCACAGGATATTGTATGGGAAGGAAAAGAAAGCATACTGGTAATCAAGGGTCCACAGAGAACAGGCAGAAATGATGACGTACTGTTCAAGCTCTGTCTTCCCCTTAAAACCTAAGAGATAATAATAATATTCAAGTTGTGTTGCAAAAAAGGCAACAGGTCTGTTTTATTTTCTTCATGAAATTGTTCTTCAAATAAATTACATTCTTTCAATTAGCTGTAACAGCAAAATCATAAAAAATGTGAATTAATCATTCCGGTTCTACTCAAGATAAAATGAATACACATATTTCACTGGATCTACCAATAACAACAAAAAATACAAGATGATTGTTAATCGTCTTTTTATTTATATAGAAAAAAACAAGCTATAGATAACAGATGTGAATTAAGGTAGTAGCCTGAAGTGGACGGGCTTTTTTTCCCATAACTGTACAATTCTGAAGGAATGATGTTCATACGAATAGTTAAATTATAGTCATTTGAAAAAACTACAGCATTTTAGCATCCATCTTATCTAGCCAAGTCCTGAAGTGAAGTGAATAAAACTCTGTACTGATAGCAGTTCACAAATTACAATGGAAAACACCACAAATCGGCAATCTAAAGTAGTCCCATCAATCACAAGTCGTTTAACACTCTCCTGTTTCGCTGAGCATCGATTCAAATTCCCTGAAGGAGTTATCCATTTATTCACCTTTCAATATAATAAATATTCAGGATTTTTAAAAATAAATAAATAAACATTGGTTGTAATAAAAATGGGGATCAAGGGAATCTCTGACTCTTCTCACTGTAACAAAATAAGTATTGCTCAAAAAATGAATAATAACGCAAGTTTTTTTCAGAAAAAGGTTTTCGATGTAAAAACTAACTAGTGTATTCGTCCTGTTTTTGTATTTCTGCATCTCTATTTCTCTTTACAATGTATAATCATAAAGAAATATACAAGGAAATAATAATACCGAGAGTAAGAATGCCGGCTCAATACACTGTCTTAGTTATACACCTAATGAATTATTAGAATAGATGAAAGCATTTAAATCAAACTGATCAATACTTCTTGACTTGTAGTAGGTGTTCCACGGCATCATATTGATACAAAATGTTGATATATTAGCAGAATTGATTTGTTGTAAACAATGAGTATACCATAATGACGGGGATTTTGAAAGACGTAAATATAATGATATGAATAAAAGGATTATAACTATAAGAAAGAAACAAAATTTCAGCGTTAAATGTTTCCAGTTGGCAAGATTTTCATTCAGGAGTATTGGTGAAGAGGTCGTAGAATAGTCTAGTAGATGTTCAGAACTAACGAAATCTGGGCTGACTTGATGAAATATTGGTAAGTCTAAAATAGAATAAAATTAAGAAGAAGAAATTCATTTTGATGTGAACGAGTAAAGATCGGATATTTTCCAAAATGTCATTCTCCCAAAAAGCAATAATTCGACTTAACTATGGCAATTTTGTGAACATTCACTCACAATTTCAAATGGCTAATATTTGAATGTAGGTACATGTTCTCATTTAATTCAGTGTTAGAAGCATACACTGATACACCGGTCGCCAACCGATCAAGATACTCTTTAAACTTTAGCCAAAAAGATAAACTGACATTTGAACAAAGCAAGAACTACAGTTTGAGCAGAATAAAATGGTACCATCTTTTATTTCGTTGCCTTCTCGTCAGCTGCTTACAGGGCAGAGGCATTATTAAATGTATCTTCAAAAACAATTTTAACATACTTGCACAGAGTTCATTTTAAACAGAAATCAATCGATCAATATACGCATACACTAATAATATATACATATATATATGCAATATTAAAAGTATTCCGAACAATAATAATCACACACAAAGAAAACCTTTCAGCATCTCGCATTCGGATGAAAAATATCCAGTTACCAGGGCAAAGAAAGACTGATAACCACTTCTTACTGAACGCATAAGTCAGGTTTCATGCGCTTGATGGAAAAGACTTCAGCAAACTTAAGGAGAATTGAACTCTTTTGCTTACTGATAATTTTGAACAACTTTTTGACGTCCACCTCATGACCCATGTCGAGGAGATGCCTGGAGATGGCACTGTTTAAAACATTTGTTCGTCGACGTCGAAAAGTCGTTCAAAATTATCAGTAAGCAAAAGAGTTCAATTCTCCTTAAGTTTGCTGAAGCCTTTTCCATCAAGCGCATGAAACCTGACTTATGCGTTCAGAAAGAAGCGGTTATCAGTCTTTCTTTGCCCTGGTAACTGGATATTTTTCATCCGAATGCGAGATGCTGAAAGGTTTTCTTTGTGTGTGATTATTATTGTTCGGAATACTTTTAATATTGCATATATATATGTATATATATATATTATTAGAGTATGCGTATACTGATCGACTGATTTTTGTTTAAAATGAACTCTGTGCAAGTATGTTAAATTGTTTTTGAAGATACATTTAATAGTGTCTTTGCTTTGTAAGCAGCTGACGAGAAGGCAACGAAATAAAAGATGGTACCATTTTATTCTGCTCAAACTGTAGTTCTTGTTTTGTTCAAATTCATTTCGGGGAATTAATGCATGAAATTTCTGAATAAACTGACATTAACTGAAGTCTGTGACTAGTAGACAACATTACAGTAATGAAATGTGCGTCGGTGGCATAGCGGTTAGGACGCTCGCAGACCATCCACATTGGCCGGGGTTCGATCCCCGGCCACAGACGCACTCCTTTACCTCGCTAAGCCAGAAATAATGCTGGTGAAGAGGAAAGCTTGAGCATGAGGCAGGCAACCCCATCCTGTAAAATAAACACTGCTACAAGAACGTCAAGCCACTAGTTTGAAGCCCTATGTTCCACTGGGGAACGTGAAGGAAAAATTAATAAATAACACATTGAGTTTTTAATAATTCATTCAAATGTAAGTCAATAAGAGGTATGGTATAAGGTATAGTATACGTTTTTGGACTAATGTGTAACCAGTCTGTGTTGTGCTGCAGTCATCATAAGGAACAAGATTAGAATCGTTAACACTGATGTCAACGCAGCGCTTCTGTTTGACTTTAGAGACCTACAATGCACTCTGCGAAAAGCATTTTCATCAGCCAGATGCAGGTACTTGTTGGCAGCTTCATACTGAAGATCAGCTGGTTAGAAAGGACTAGCAGCAAGAAAATCTACAGCACAATGAACCAACCGACAACTTATTGCCCAACAGGCTGGCCGAAGAGAGTGGAGATGGATTGAACACACACTGTGGAGACCACAGAGTGAAGTCCCGCGGTAGACCATTGCTCGAGTGGAACCTAAATGGGAGACAACAAGTTGGGAGTGTATCCAAGGGTGACATGGATGAGAGCATGTGAGTAGAAGATGAAAGCTTATGGTCAATCGTAGAGCCATTTGAAAAGGATTACAAAGAACAGGGTAAAAATAGTGGTGCGTTGTTGAAACCCAATGTCCCACTCGGAACCCCAGAAAATAATAATAATAACAAAAATGCCTTACTGTCGCAAAGAATATTATATTGTTATTCGTATTTTTAGTTTACACATTATGATAGATTTGAAAACGTGTTCATGTAGTACTCCGTATTTATTTCTCTTATCATTACTATAGTTATAAGAAATCATACAGTAAAACCTACATCTTTAGTCACTCACCAAAAGAATTTTCTGTAGATGAAGGACTGTACTGAGATACATCGGGCGAAAGATATGTGGAACGCATTGTTTGGTTATCCTTTAAATTTTTCTTTACCTACATTTCATAAAGTAAACAGTATTAAGCAAAGTATTTCGGGAGGAAATTTTCAATATCTTTTCACAACATTTAAATAATGTATTGAAAAAAACACAACTGTTTTACAAGTAATCGACAAACATAACGAACTTCATACACTCAGTACTACCCTACTAAGCGCAAAGTTCAACTTTATATATCCAAGATATATGATCGCACCAGGGACGTCAAATGTATCAGCCGCATGAATAAGACGTATTCTAGGTAAATGAAATGCATGTGACCAGTAGGGCGCAGCAGATCGGGTGTGAGGACAAATACTCGCCGAAGACATTGGCTAGTGGTCGCGCTATGTCGTGAATTGGCAGAAGTTAGAATTCATGCACTGACTGGCCATTGGATCGTGTCCCAGTGGCTTGATGGTCTTCGAGCTAGCTCGCCTTGTAACCAGAAGATCCTGGGTTTGAATCCCGGTGGGTGCGTCCTGTGAAGAGTCCAAAACCAGGACGAAACAGCTGTCCAGTACTCCCAGGTTTCCCAATGGTTTTCTAACTAATGTCAGCTCATGATGAAAATCCTGAAGTGGATGTATTTATGAAATTAATGTAATGCAAAAATATCTCACACTTTCTAATTACAGTCACTATAGAGAAACTAAACCAATATGTCTATACCTATACGCGTCTGGATGCCTGTAGAGAACATCATTCTAAGATATATCGATCACTCTCACACAGTTGTTCAATCTCCTCTAGAATTTTCTTATTGAGCTGTTGTGTACCAGGATTGATGTCGACAAAACCCATGAAATGGTTGGCGTTATTATGAATGTAATCAAGTGACAAAAAAGTATGTACCTATTCCACTCTTCTGTCTGTATTGTCAAGCCTCGTAATATTAGGTATTTAAAAATGGTCGATTTTCTGTCGGGTATTCTTTCAGTGAGTCGTTTCCGTCCCATACTCCAAGATCCTCAATGCCGTTTGTCATCTTATTATCTCGATTATATTTCAGTTTTGTCAGTATGGTTTTGTCCATATGCAACAGACTTTCTTCACCCAATATGGCAGCTAAACTCTCCATTCTCTACGATGCCATATTTCTACAGTGCTGGTGCCACTGAACTGCTGACAGGAGAGGGATTTCCGTTTCAGCAACTCTTACAGGAGACACCAGTAGTCGGTAGTTGCACGATTTGACTTATCGATAGGTGGGACCTAGCAAAACATGTTCCTACAAAACACTTTAACAAGCAGCTTACCATCTAAAATCACCAGCTGTCATACGACAACCACTGCAGCAGAAAGTATGACAATCAATAGCTCCACCTAGGGCATTCTACACTCAAAATACTTACATAAGAACAAATTCTTCTACTTCGAATCAATCCAACATCCAGATAATACTGGGATACTCATTAACACGGGAATGCTTCTGATACATTAAATTCCACATGCAAGTCACTCTCGGCAGGCATTTGACTTAAATCAAGAGGATTAATAGCATGAACTAATATGACGGAAGTGACTGTTCCATTCAAGGCTATTAGTGCCTGAAGTTTTACTCCGCCCTCCCAAGTCTGAATTCTATATGCCCATAGAAATGTTGAACCAATATTCAGAAGTGGTCTCTAAAATAAAATAGTACACTAAAAGCGGTTAAGTAATAGTCATCGACAATGGAAGAAAGGTTCTGAAACTCGTTGAGGTTAACATCTTCATTGGATGAGATGTAAGGTAGTTGAGTATTCATCCATTTGACATGTGTGAAGAGGGTGAGAAAATGTAAAAAAGGAATATGTAAGAGTGGTAAAAACGAGCGATTTAGAACCTTGGCTGAGAGTTCACCAGCTCCTTCGCCATACACAAATGTTGGAAACTAACGCCTCTTGTACCGTTCGGTCTCACCTTGTAGATAATTCCGGAATATGCCTGTAGTGGAGCTGAGTGACCTGAGTAAATCAGCTGCAGAAGAATCTTACTAACCATACTGGGTAATGTTTGGAGATGCGTTTGGAAAAAAGGAAAGTTTCTTCGTTGAATTGTCTTTTATTTTCTTCCTGACTCGGTGCGCATATACAGACTGTTTTTCGAGCTGTATCAGGTGGAATTAAACTTTTTCGGTATCAAACAGAAAATTTTCATCCTTCTAATCATGTCAAATTCCACAGCTACATTTCCAACTGGGATAAAGGTCATCCTGTGTTTATAAACTGTATTTATAACAACACTATAATTTAGCTGTGTTAAACACTTTTAGACTAACCTTCCTAGCTTGTTCAAACCAGTCTGTTTTTAAAGCACATATAGTATAGGTCAATGTGGTTAACGCAAAGCCAACAGCCAAGCCTATCCATGCTCCTAAAGATATTGAAATGATAAAGATAATGGAAATTATATAAATTTTATATCGAAATGAATAAATGTTTTTTTAAAATTTGAACAAGGCAATAACAATACATGGCGGAGGATTATTCCGTCGGTATGTCTTGTCAGTTGCTTGGTTCAATAAGAGTTTTAACATAATGCATTTCATTGGAGGTAAAATGTGGGACAATATTTAAGAATGATCATAATGTGTAGATGACTGACGCAGGACATCAGGCAGGCATATACAATTCTTTCAAAATAATAAATAAACAACCAACTTTGAGTACGACTAAAGTTCTCAGAGGTCATCACTGTTATACAAGTGAGATCTAACCTAGATATACTTGAAAAAGCTTCAGTAAGTCTTTCTCTACCATGAAAATTCGTGGTTTAACCTAAAGGAACTTCTGGCTACATGGCAAGCTCGTAGACCATTAAGCCACTGGGACCCGATCCAATGGCCAGCCCGTGAATTCTAACTTCTGCCAATTCACGACATAGCGCAAACGTCCCAAACTAGGTTGGCGAAACAGCTGTCCAGTACTCCCTGCAGGTTTTCCAGTGGTTCTTCCCAACCAATGTCAGCTCATGATGAAGTCCTGTGACCAATCAGTCAAATCCCTACAAACCAATACTTGCATTTTCTAATGAATTGGGTAGTTTTAGAATTTATACACCTCAATGTCTTGTCAATACTCTTACTGCACAATTTTTGTTTTACTCGAGAAACACTACAGCAACACTGTACATTATGTTAACTTAACATTTACATTCCTTCACGAATACCATGGTCATTCTTAATTATTGTTACACATTTATATCCAGTGTAACTGTGTTATAGAACTATGACAGCTGGAAATATACTGACGTGATAAACAATGGGTCCGCTTTATCCTGCACCATGTGTTGTTACTGTTTCCCTGAAAATCAATATAGGGGATTCGAGTATTAAAAAACTTTTATTCATTTCTTAAACCATTTTTAGGTATTTATAAGTTAAAATTATAACTATTGGATATTGTTGAGTAGGAATGGTAGAAAATTGACAGAGGTTATTTCCTTCAAAAATCTAGGAATCACTATTTCAACTGCAGGCCAGAGGAGCGGACGGAGATGTCAAAACTGGCTAGAATCGGAAAAGCAAAACATGCCTTCATCAACTTGAAACCAGTTTGGAAATCGGATGCCCTCAGTTAACCAGCATGAAGAACAAGATTCGGATTCTGTTCAACATCAGTGTGAAGTCGGCCAGTCACTTCCTCTATATGAGTCAGAAATTTGCACTGCTTGTCACAAGAAGGATTTGCAGCAAGTTGAAGACTTTTAATAACAACTGCCACCTTCTCTATCTCCACACTGAAGATCAGATGACCGGCCGGCCAGAAAGAATTATCAGCAAAAGACTCAGACATCAAAGCGACTAAGAGCTGATTGCTTAACAATTATGTAGGGGGAAATGGGGATGTATTAGGCATACGCTGAGGAGTCCATCGAATGACTTCACCCGCTAGAGCATCGTTGGATTGGAACCCGAATGGGAAGCAGTGAGTGGGTCGTTAGTGTATGGGGGACATGGAGGAGACAGTGTGAGTTTGAGGTGATGAGGGATTATGAACAATCGTGGACCTCGCTGAAGAGGACAGCAGAGAACAAAAGAAAGTGGAGATGTGTTGCTGAAGCCCTATGTTCCACTCGGAACCCAACGGAATAACAATAGATATGTAGAAATAAACAACTACTGTATAGGTTTTATGATGTCATTCTTCATGTTCACAAGAGCACATGTGAATAAAATGCATTAAACATTTTCGTAACACCATCTTTGCTTAATGAAATCCATAAATAATCCAAAAGTGTCTCTTTGGAAGAAATCCTGATAGCCAAAAGAGTTCCGTTACTCAATGACGAATGAAATATTTGTACGATATATTAAGATTATACGTTTACAAGCCAATTAACACGTATATCAGACTTTGTTGAGTTGATATAATCTGTATCATAAACAGCCTATTTACTTATTTACATCCAAGATAACTAATTAGGTTCTCAGACTTTGAAGGATGAATGAGCTAAGACTTCTTGTATTCCATTAATCTTTGAAACTTTGGTCGATAGTTTATTTCTCTACTGTTGCTCTATAGGTAAATTTTCTCATATGCTGAATCGGTACCTGCATGTCATTCTAAAATCTGCGTACCGGTCTTCACGATTTCTGCGTTGCTTTCTGCCTTTCTTGAATTACTCAGTAAGTTCAAATGTTCGGGAACTTATTCTGCGCTTTTCTGTAGTTACTGTTTCAGTTGCAGTTTACATCATTTTTGACTCCGCTCAACTTAACGTATTTGGTGTGTAACACGTAAGGTCATATGTTGGGTGATCAACTTTCATTTGACACAACGTATTTAACCTCAGCAGTTAGTTAGCAATCAAGATCTCGGAACAGTTTTTCCATGTAGCAGACTGTGAGCCACATTTTATAGCATGAGGGTCGGTGATACTATGCAGTTGCAGTGGAAATCAAACACGGGACCCATTAGCTTAATGACAAGTAGTCAATGTAGTTGGTCTCCACTTGAACACTGTAACTGTTTGCACAACACTAAATTGTTCTGGAATATCTCCCAATAAATAAGTAACGATAAATGTCTGAGTATAGGGAATCCAAGAGTCCATACTTTAACAACTGACTGCTATTTCCTCTAGTCAGTCAATGTGCGTGGTTTAGTTCGGTAAAGCAAAGCTCGTAAGTAATACGTATCAAAGTGTCAGTTACGCTTCATTTTCTCCCTTAATATTTGACTGTGTCATCAACCAAGTAGCTGTTTACACCATACAGTTGTTCTTTCTATTTCTTCATTTGATTACTATTTCCCATCTTTTGAAGAGGCCTTAATCAGTGAAGATTCTTTGTTATTCTATTGTTTGAAACTTGCCTCTTAAAATGTGGTTTCTTTGTGGGTTATGTAGACACATTATTCAATCATTTCGTCTCGTATTTATAAAAGCTTTCCACCTGACATGAAGTTAAGTCACCCAATCAAAATGGTCAATCATCTCATCATCAAATAATTCAACTGCGTTGGATTCTGTCCGCGATGATGCAGTACCTAGTAGAACTTTATCCATGCCTCACTAGCTGTGTAGAGAACAAGAAAGATGTTATCTGAGACAATAACCTGTTGAAATACATTTCCTTTTCTGAATATCTAGTCAGGAATTTTAGATTACGAGAGCATATTATCGTAGAAATAGACACATGTAATTAAGTGTTTCATATCCTTTCAAAAGGTGTGGTTTTAAATCTGCGGCATTTTTAATAAAAACAGGAAGTTCGCAAGTTTGTGAGCAACTGGAGAAACAAGCGAAATATTAACGCGTCTGGCAAATTTAATAACTAACCCGAGTTAGTTACTAAGAATTATTATTATTATAATTCCTAGAGGAACAAAGGGCTTCAGCCGTGCGTCTCCATTGCGTTCGGTTCTCTGCTAGAGTCTTCACCTGGCTCCAAGTCTGCCCCCACGCTTTCATCTCCTCTTCACATGACCTCCTCTAAGTCACCCTTGCACTGACGACCAACTCGCCGCTTTCCTTTTCGGGTTCCACTAAAGGGCTTGTCTAGTGATGTCACTTGATGGTTTCCTCAGAGTATGGCCAATCAGTCTCCATTTCTTCCTGCCTATTTGTTTCACAATCGGTTCCTGGTTGGTTCGCTCATTGCCAGAGATCTCCGTTACTGATCTTTTCTGGCCAGTCATCTAATCTTGAGTATTGAGCGAAAACAACTAGCTGTTAATGAAGGTCTGTAGTTTGTTTGAGATACTCTTTATGAAGCGCAGTGCAAGTCTCTGATCCGTATAGCGAGTATCACTGACTTCACATTGGAGTTGAAAATCCGGATCTTGTTTTTGATGCTGAGTGCTGTTGACCTCCACACAGACTTGAGAGTAAAGAAAGGTTGTCTTGCTTTTCCGATTCTTGCTTTGATATCCTCGTCAGTTCCGCCCATAGTTGAGACGATGCTTCCCAGGTAGGTAAAAGAGGTTGTTTCTTTCAGGTTCCTTCCATTTATGCTGATCGTTTTCTGTTGTTGTTGTTCTTGTCCAGGAATCTCCATTACCTCTGTTTTCTCTGTGTTCACCTGAAGTCCTATTTTCTCTGGATGCTTCCTCTGCCAACTTGTTGCTTTTCGCTTGCATATCTTCCAGTTTGTGGGAAATCAGACATACATCGTCAACGAAGTCCATATCCTCGAAGTTCTTTTTGTGTGTACCATACATAATACTAAATTCAATGCATATTTAAACAAGGCAAAGTTCGATTTTAGATACCCAATATGCATGTCCCTAACCAAACCTAATATCTCCTGAATTCGGCTAAAATAAGCGTAACCTGTATCAAGCTTAAATATAAACTTAATTTCTCCCTAACCTAAGTTTCCTATCGCTACAATTTACTTAACACTTTTCCTAATGCATATCGTATTATTTACCTCGTCTTACCGCCTTGAGCTGAGTGAGCGTTTTCAGGTCACTGGTGCGTTCGTGCCTACCGGGTGTCTAAGATTAAACTACTCTCCATAGATAGAATATTTTAAAAGCTAGGCGTTCCGAGTATTATTTCTCATAAAAACGCATGTTAATAAACCTCCACAAAAGTAAGCAAACTGACAGAACAATTGTGAAATCGATTATGATGAGTTTGTATATATGTTCTCCCTATCTTTACTTGACCTAATCAATCAACTCTGCTGCCTTCCTTAAGCAATTCTATGCAACAAACTCACATTAAAACACTTATACTTCATCCTAATCAATTTTTGGTCATTTGAATAAATCTACCTCATTAGTACTAAGTTTCAACTTAACTAATCTTTAAGTTTATTAACCTAATAGGTAGGTATTCTAATCTGAATAAGATGAATAATGGAAGTAGTAAAAAGTCGTATATTCATGAATAAGTTAAAGAACTACTATTAACTATATCGAAAAATAGAGAATGAAAACGATTCGAAGGTTGTTTTCAAACTCAAAAATTATAAGAGGACATTTATCGTTCTCTATAGAATGTTCATTAGGCAAATTTCCATATTAGGTTGATATAACAATCTGGGACACTGTGAAATTAATTGGATTAGGTTCTGAGCACAATTTTTTTCAGCATTAATCATGACATTATGCAGCATTATACTCTAACACAGTGTCAAAATTCCACAGTCAGACTAAGAATCAGAGGCTGTAAACTCTTTTGATACACCAATTCAGTTACCTCAATGTATCGACTACTAATGTGCAATTAAATGAAAGAGTTGTTCTTTAACTCAGTAATAAAACAGCAAATTTAACCTTACCGAAAATTCCTAGAGATGTCTTGTAAGTCAGCACTAAAGCAATCGGCATTCCAATGCAATAATAACCAAAAAATATTGTCACAGCTCCTAAACTTTGTCGTCCACAAGCCAAGAGAACAGCCTCTGAGATACCCTAAAATTTAAAAAAAAAACGCGAAAATCTGATTTAAAAATTGTGATAATTGCATTTCTGACTCCACCTTTCAAAAACAGTTAAGCAAAATATGGAAAGGAAACAAAGCAGGGAAATATTGTTAGATGTTTAACAAGGTGAGTGAGTGATAATTTGATGTCAATCATTAATATCTCTAGTATTTATCAACTGAGTTACGCACATATAAATACATGGATTACACTCTAAAACGCGCCAATTTTTGTTTCAAATTACATGACTAACTGTACATTGTTCAAGTTGATGAATTCTTGGCAGTTTTCTTAATACAGTATGCAATCAATTTGGACAAGTGATCCACAATGTATTAGATGGTTGGAGGCAATCGGCAGGAAGCCTTGGATCTAGGTTTCGTGCTAGTTGGCACTCATCATCAAGGCGTATCTTCAGCCTTGAAGGAACTGATGTCCCTTGTGAGATTCGAACCCACGTCACCCAGTGCTGCAGTCAGAGACGTTACCACTGAACTATTCAGGCTCGCAACTGACCTCCTGTAGGACTGCATTGGATATTTTTTTGATTGTAAACTAGTCAGTAACTAGTGTAATGCGTCTAGTCCTATCTTCGGTGCAGACTGAATTCTATCAGTCATGTTTGCAATGTGGCCAGCATGCTAGGTGGCTCGCCTTGCTGATGAGGGCTAACTAGCACGAAATCTAGGTCCAAGGCTTCCTGCCGATTGCCTCCAACCATCTAATACCAACAATTCACAGTGCACCGTAATGGCGAGCCACCTAGCATGGTGGCCACATTGCAAACATGACTGGTAGAATTCAGTCTGCACCGAAGATAGGACTAGACGCATTACACTATTTACTGACTAGTGTACAATCAAAAAATAAGATCCACAATGTATTTGCAAAAAATACACTAAATTAATGCTCGTTGTATGCTAAGCTATCTATGTTCAGCATACCTCCCAGAGAGGCATACCGAGTTGTATAACTTAGTTTAAACTACTCTTCAACTTCACTTTTATCATCCTGCTTACCATATCGACATTACTTATAAAAAAAATCAAGTGATGAATTGCAAAGAGGTATGCATGCATGACTTATTGTTATTTTTGACAGTGAAGTTATGTCAACCAACATTATTCGCTAGCTAGGTCAAGGTATCTCCTAACCGGTTGACATTAATGATCTCTTGCTAATCTATATCGTCTTCAGATATTGCCTACTTTCTTGGTGGCTTTTACTATGTTAATCAGGTTGTATATTGTAGTATGAATATATTTAAAGAGTTTTGAAAAGTGAACAGCCTAACTTGAAAATGAAACAAGTAGTTACAACCTAGAAATCATTTCTATTAAAGGTAAAAGAATACGAATAAGAAATAATAATGTATGAATTCTAGCTTTTGCCTAATCACGGCGTATAGTGTTAATGGCAGCTTATTTACCTGGTGAGTGTTTGTCTTCAGATACAGCTTGGTGGACGCCACTGATGAGGACAGGCAATTTCATCCTAGAGTCAGTCACTATTGAGCACTAGACTAGTTTCCAAGTGCTTGATTGATTTCAACGTTGATCAGAAAGTGAATTCAGTTAATGCACCAGTGAAAACCAGGGAGCACTGCTCAGTTGTTTCGTCCTTGTCTGGGACTCCTCAAAATTATGCTTCTATAGACATATGGTCAGGTTTCGAACTCAGGACGTCCAGGTGACGGGGCCAGTCTGCTGACCATTGAGCTAATGCGGCAGAATCCAATGTCCAATGAATTCTAACTTCTGCCAGTGATTTTCTAAGTGAAATTAGTTTATGATCACTCTTGATAAACGAGTATATGATTTAAATTTCCTATGTAAGTGACTTTCTTCCTCCCTGTCTTTGTTCTGAATTTCGAAACAGTGACCTCCACTCCAATTATATCTTATTTTAATATTGCTTGAAAATGACCAAGTGACTCCGGGCTAAGCGTCGAGTAGTCTTATATAATTTTTATCCAAAAAATAAATTATATGGAACTTGATTTTAAAATATATATATTAAAAATTACTTATAATAATCCCGTGTTTAAAAAATCAAAACAAGATTTTTCGGAACATTCCGCCACAGCTTCTCCAGCAGAACTACTCGCATTTTATTCATCATCGAATTATATATATTTAGTCAGAGATTACACAGAGGGGGGCAATCAGGATCTCAAAAGCAAAACAGACCTTCACCATTCTGAAATCAGTGTTGAAACTTATTGCATACAGCTTAAGGGACTAGATTCTGATTTCCGAAACTCATGTCACCCTAATGCTTCTATTTGTTTCACACCACTGGCACGTCAGGTAAAACATTTCCAACAGATTACTGCATCAGCATCCGCCTTTACTGCATACTGTAGTTTAGATGACCGGACGGAGGGAATAAACAACAAGAATTGCAGACAAGCAACAAACCAATCGTAAAGCTATTGGCTGACACATACTTTGTTGACCTACATCACACACCAGATATGCCATCGAGTGGAATTAGAATGCGAAACGACCAGGTGGGTGTCCGAGGGTGACAGAGGGGAGTTCATTTGATGAGGAGCGACCAAGGAGAAAGCTAAGATGGACTGAGGAGAACAAAATGAAATTACGATGTGCTTATGAAGCCCTATTTTCCACCAGAAACTCAAAAGTATAATAATATATATATATTTGTAATCATAGTATTAAGCCGTCATTATTAAATTGCTTTATGCGTTGAGAAAAATCTTCGTTTGTATTGCTAGACATGTTGAGACAATATTAAGCAATTGTATACAATGGTTCGAACTGATTTGTCCCTGAAATTATTCCAGGAAATTTGCAACTGCTGTAATCTGAATATTTGTAATATCCTAGAACGACGTGCTTAACTGATAGTGCAAAGCATATGGCTAATCCATTCAAGCGTATAGGATCACTATTGGAACAGAAATGAGACACTTTTATTTCGATGTGTTTGAATAAACAAGCAGTATCTCCTATACTGTCAATGGTCAGCCCTTATGATGTATGTTGACTGATGAGAGTCTCCTAATCTGCATTTGCACAAAATGTTTTAAATATCTAGATCACAGAAGTTATGAATTTCCTGGAATAATAATTAAAGCAGCCATTCATACTCAATCCATTTAAAACTAACTAACGTATTCACAGCATATTCAGCAAATCAAAACAAGATTTTTTCTGAACTCATAACTATTTCACAATGACATTGTAAAATTATCACAAAGCAATCGGAAGCCATTGGTTTCACAGCATTTCGGTACTTTACACAGCATAAAACATTTCAATACTGATGCATGGAACTCACCGCAAATCCCTCACACAGCTGAAAGACAAGCAGCATTGGTAGAAGTTTACTGGCCAAAAGACAAACGTTCCTGACGAAATAAAAAATAGTGACACAAAGTTTTTATTGCTATGGTTTGTTTATTTTGAAGATTTTAATTTTTGGTAAATGCAAAAAAATAGGAACAGTATTCAAGTGCTGCAGTGTAGAAACTTGACTGATTTCAAATTAGATGTTATCAGGAGCCGACGTCAGTCGGTGGACCATTAAAAGCCAAACAGTAACAGAAGAGTTTTACGTCCTATCTCGTGACTCTTCAGCGGTGAACGTCGATAACTCCACTAGGAACTAAACCTACGAATATCAGGTTTTGAGATAAGCATATCAATCACTAGGATGAATTCTAATGATCAATAAATTCTGTCTTCTGTCAACTCATGATACAACTTCATCGCTAAAACAATGCCAGTGATGAGTGTCTGCCATTGAATTCCAACCTGATGTAAACTTGCCTCGTAACGTGAAGGTTTTGAGTTCGACATTTGTGGAGGTACAAAAAACTCAATGCTGGACAGTCTAGAAGTAAGACGGAAAAGCTGTTCAGTGCTCCCTGGTATTCAATGCTTCTCCAGCTGGTACTCGTTAGTAGCAAAATATACCTTCAAAACAATAATTCTGAGCAACTTATAATTCAGAACTTTTTAAAATCTAGTTGTAATATTAGCTATTTCTTAGAAATTCATTAAATATATGATCTCTTTGTAATCTTAACAGCAGAAGACGTTTAACTGCCAATGGGAACACAAAATCAATTTTTCTACTGAAATTAGATAGTAACAACACATTAGAAATGAAAACAGCTGAAAGATACTCATAATAAGAGTAGCTAATAAAAGTAATTTTCATACAAAACATATTAAGTGAATCTTAGTGTGTGCATGAAATGCCCCACTGTTTCATTTCACACAACTTTACAAAATCATATTTTCGTTAACTCCCTTAATTATTTTGTTTAGCGTGAATTTGCATACCAATTTCAGAAGAAAGTTCACTATGTACCTTAAAAAAACTAGACACCCTTGCATGAAGTGCACTAATTGAAACCTCAAACAAACCTTTCGGTTGTTCGTATTAGATGGTTAGAGGCAATCGGCAGGAAGCCTTGGACCTAGGTTTTAGTTTTCGATGCGTTTAAGTTCATCTCTAGCCAAGTAAGCAAAGACTAACTACATTTATTATAGATATATATATAATTCATTCTTGTTCCAGGTTGATAATTTAGCTTCAGAGGCACATTTTCATTTCACTCTGTTGTCTTCAGTCGTTTTCAGATTGCTCGATGACTGATCATAAGCTTTCACCTCTCCCTCACACGATCTCCCCGAGTAGCTCTCAGGTCGACTATAACTCGTCTTCTAACACTTGAGTGCCATTCGGAAGCCGTATGCATGATGTCACCCAATGGTCTCCATGTTCTCACGTTCGCTGTATGGTAGGTTCCTAGTTAGTATCGAGACTTCAAATGCAGTCGTTGATCAAAGTCCACAGCCTGTTGAAAATGCCTTCCTTGAAGTGCCAAGACACTGAACCACACAGAAGAATTGACCTACTTGACACCTGTTAAAAATCCAAATCCTGTACCTTATACTGAGTGAAGCACATTCTAGCATTGGTTTCTGAGTGATGAAGGTCTGTCTTATTTTTCCGATCCTGACTGGCTTTGACATTCCCAGTCGTGCTGCCTGCAGTTGAATATAAGAACAAAAATGTTCAGCGAAGAGTCTCTTTTTGGCGGATTCATTCACTTAGCTGTACAATTGCATTTATATATTATCATTTTGTGTGTGTGTACAGTGGGATTGTCAAACGAAAAGAAGAATTAGTTAGGATTACTGTTTACTTCGTCAAGATGTCTCAAAATGTGATGAATAATCGGATTGTAACTGGGGGGATGGTAAGTATTGACAAGGGCTGTGTAATATGAAAGACACCCAGAAAAATATGTTGTTAATGAAAGAGCATGAAGACACGTGTCCAAGATAAGTTATGTAATAAGTAGAAGGAGTAAATAAAGCACTGGCCGAGAAAAAGGTGTTACTAAGAGGTCATACAAAAATTTTAAAAGTCAAAAAAGTATTATTAACAAAGTAGGATAACTTGGAATTATACCCATGGTAGAAGGGGTGGTTTGAGAAGTCTCTTCTGTGTACATAAATCAGGGTTTTCTATACGGATCACTAAGGCCTCCCCAACAATGCAAAGCATACGGAAGTTTACCATTTTCGGGAGGCTTCTTTCGACTTTGTAGATGACTTTGAATGAATTCTCTTTAACTACTGAGTGACCAGTGTTGAATATATGTTCAATTACAGCACTCTTTATTGATCCACTGTTACCCTTTCGTAACCAAGCGGGGTAATGCTCTTTCACTCTTTTGGATAAAACACGCATCGAACGACCTGTATATCTCGCTCTACATGATCAAGTAAATTGGTAGTTGAAGCAATGACCTCAGATAAGTGAAAGAGCTGAATTCCTTTAGATTTTTCCTGTCATCGGTGATTGATGCTTGCTGTTGTTAGCTAGGTATCTTTGTCACCTCTGTTTTCTCTACATTCAGTTGAAGTCATGTCTTCTTTGCTTCTTTCCTCAGCTCGATGGCCTTCTTCCGTAGACCTTGGATCTTGTGTGATATTAGGCCCAAATCATCCATGAAGCTCAGATCTTCTAACGTCTTCTTCTTGACCTTATAACATGCCTATCTTCTCGTTCCTCATGCATGGTCTGTTACATTATCGAGTTCACCACAATCAGGAATGTCATCGGTATATATATAAAGTCTGCCTATTGTTTTGGCAGCATTTTTACAACTGAGTGGACGAATTTCAATTCCCTTTGGTCAAATAGCTCTCAGACGGAGTTAAGATAAGATTTATCTATTGATACACAATTTGCATAGTATTTCATTATCACACTTACTGAGATTTTCTCCAAAGTATTTTTTTCCTTCACGTTCCCCAGTGGAACATAGGGCTTCAAGCTAGAGCCAGCTTGAAGTTTCTGTAGCAGTGTTTATTTTACATGATGTGGTTGCTAGCCTCATGCCCAACCTTTCCTCTTCACCAGCATTATTTCTGGCTTAGCGAGGTAAAGGAGTGCGTCTGTGGCCGGGGATCGAACCCCGGCCAATGTGGATGGTTGGCGAGCGTCCTAACCGCTATGCCACCGACGCACTCCAAAGTATACTCACAGCGATTCTTGAAATAAGCCACATTTCACAATTTACGTTCGAGTTTGACTGCGGATTGATGTCAGTTGGACAGCCAATGAAAACCAAGCAGTACTGAACATTTGTTCCGTTCTAGTTTAGGAATAATCGGCTGTACGTACCTACCACTATGGTTCGAAGTGAGGACCATCTGGTTACAAGGGAAGCTCGTAGACCATTTAGCCACTGGGACTTGGCTCAATGGCCCATGAATTCTGATTTTAGCGCAACCACCAGCCAATATCATAAGCGAGCATTTTTCCTCACGGCGAATGGATCGACCACACTAGTCACGACTTTTCAACAGAACGTCAGGCAACTTCGCCCTGTTGCCAGTTACTAGCGATTGTTTTTAAGTGTTAGTTCGTTGGGATTTGATTTGTTTCAGATAGGGAACCAATAAAAACCAGGAAGCACTGGATACCTGTTTCGTTCTAATGTTGGACACTTCATCAGTACTCACCTACCGAGGACAGGATTCATGCCCATCGGAAAAGAGTGATACAAGAGCTTGCCTTGTAACCTGATGGCCATTGGTTCGAACCATGGTGGTAAGTGCGTTAAACCGATGATTCCAAAACTAGAACATAACAGCTGTCCAGTACTGCTTGGTTTTCACTGGCTGTCTAACTGACATTAATCCGCAGTCAAACTCGACACGAATCAAATTCCGATAAACTAACATTTGAAAGTAATGAGTGCATTAGTGTGCACACTTTAAACTAGTTGATGAGGCATTCTATTTGGATCGTCTGATGTCGTGAAAGAAGTCACAGGAATACATTGGGCTAATTTCATAAAAAGTGAATTGATATTACTAGAATTTCAGGGACAGAACTATGTTTCCTTTGAGAAATAACCTGATTCTTTCATATATTGAAACAATAATAAGCGCGAAAAATGACACCAACGCTAGTGTTAAAATATAAATATCAATAGCTAAACCACTGAGGATTGTTTGTTGATCTTTTCTGTGTCTCTACATATCTCTTCCAGTTCAGTCCATATATGCGTTGATTAATTCTGACAGTCTACGATATAAGTCAATAAATATGGTATCATACTGAAAGATCTTTTCGTGTCCACACCTACAATGGATATTAATTAATTAAATTATTATTTATTGTTCCCTTGGGTTCCTAGTGAAACATAGGGCTTCAACTGCACGCCTCCACTTGCTTCTGTCTTCTGCAGTTGTTTTCACCTACATCCATGTTAATCCATACTGTTTCAACTCCTCTTCACACGATCTCCTCCATGTCAACGTTGCACCGACGAACCACTCGAAGCTTCCTTTTCGGGTTCCACTCGAGTGATGGCCTGACGCGCGATGTTACCCAGTGGCCTCCTCAGTGAGTGTCCAAAACACCTCCACTTTCTCCTGCATATTTGTTAAGCGATTGCCTCCTGTTTTGTTTGTTCCCATAGTTCCTTCTTGGTGATTCTTTCCGGCCATCTGATCTTCACTATGGAGCGAAGACAGCTGTTGATAAAGGTCTGCAACAGGCTGTTGGAAATATTCATTGTAACCCGCCAAGTTTCTGATCCGTATAGAAGAACTGGCTTGACGTTTGTATTGAAAATCCGAATTTTGTTGTTGATGCTGAGTCACGAAGATATTGATTACTAAAACGTCAAATTTGTTTGATGGTATTTGTCCATGAACATTCATAATTACTCAACAATCTCCTAGACTCCCATAATACCTGATAACTTCATTGCAGTAACTGGTAATTATATTTAACAAAAATGAAAACAGAAATGTCATGCTAATTTACAAACAACAGAAACTTACTCATCTGATGTAAATATATACGGAATGTAATTTCGCAGAAGAGTAACAGGTAAAGCGGTACAAAAAGCCACCACAGCTATCCAGTTAAACAAATTAAAATATGCGTGTATTATTATCAATTTGATCATTATAGATGAACACGACTCAGAAAGTCAATTTTATTTTGAATAAATAGAAAAAACAAAATACAGAAACAATGTGTTATGCTGATGTCTAAGTCATACTTTGTTCTCCTAATAACAGCTTTAATAACCTTAAATTATCTTAAGAAAAAATGTATTACATCAGATGCGAATCAGCAATGAATTTCGCGACTTTCCGAATGACGTTTATGTCTGCCATCTTAGACACAGTGTTTTTTTTACTTCCTTCACGTTCCCCAGTGGAACATAGGGCTTCAGGCTAGTGGCTTGAAGTTTCTGTAGCGGTGTTTATTTTACAGGATGGAGTTGCTAGTCTCATGCCCAACCTTTCCTCTTCACCAGCGTTATTTCTGCCTTAACGAAGTGAAGGAGTGCGTCGGCCGGTTATCGAACCCCGGACCATGTGCATGGTCAGCGAGTGTGCTAACCGCTGTGCCACTGACGCACCGGTCACAGTGTTTAGTGTCTTTAAATTACTGAATTCACTTCGATTCTACACAAATTGAAAAAACTACAAATCAAGTTAGGCGAATAATTTCAAAATGGACCAAGCACTTCGGTTCGGTTAGTTGACGGGAAAATCTAAAATTGAATTAAATAATTAATATGACCCGTTGCACAAGAGGTGGCTCTCGTGGCCCAAGTGGTCTAGAAGAGAACGCTTTGGCGTTCGAAACTATGGGCAGTGGGTTTGAGCCTTGGTGGGAACAACGTCACTCCCCGGGGAATGCGGGTACATCCAGGTGACGAGTCCCGAATAGGAAGAAATGAGCATCCTGGATCCCACTGCTAGTCACTATCCACCAAATAAACATTCTTGTGACTAAAGGTTGTACTGAACAACCATCAGCTGTGTTACTTCATGATGTGTTAAAATATTACGGACATATTAATCACTTAAGAAGCATTGAAAATAAACTGAATTTGACACATCCACAACGCAAAATCAAATCAGTAACTGCTTTTATCGAACTGTATGCAATCCTATAAAGTGAGTGACATATTCTGCCAGCCCAGGGGCAAGTATTACGTTGCTGAATTTAACTAAGCAGTATTTTCAGGTATTTAACTCGCCCCTAAAAAACTTGAACAGTGTGATAAGAATGAGTTGTGTACGATAGGACGCATGTTTTCTAGTTTGATTGGTGCAACCTAAGCAACAAAATAAAAGCGGAAACAGTTTCACAGTCTTCTTTCAGATTTTCGGATTTTAAGGACTAGAGAGAGAAATCATCAGAGCTTTATCTGAGAACCAAAAATATTCAGATCATAATACGTGATCTACTTGAAGAGATACATGGTGATCGAGAAATCGAGTTAAGTAGCATGATACTTAATAGTACTAATTGATTGGTATGAGTGATTTCTCCTCTCGAACTTTATGGCTGTCAAATGACGAGTTGGATTCAATGTGCAACCAGTTAGCCCAGGTAGTTCTGGTAGCTGGAACTGATTTGACTCTTTGAGCTGTGTAGTGTAGAACTGAGTATAGTTCTGATGAGTGAAACCGTCGCTCTCTGTTTAAATCCCTTCGATCTGTTCAGCAAGCACTTCTATTTTACGTGAGTAATTACCAGCTACTCATATCAGTGAATCAGTAGTATGTTGTTGAAATTTGATTTATTTTAATGTAAACATCTTAAGGCACTTACATGAGCTAGGGAATGAATGAAAACCAGATTACACTGGACAGCTGTTTCTCCCTAATACTGGAATTCTCAACAATGATCACTCGTGAGTCAAACAAAAGGCTTTCAGACTGCTGGAAAATACCGTTTGCCAGTGTACCACAGTTTCGAAATAATGCACCCATGAAGTCTAATATCTGCCACTTCGTGATACATATAACCACAACCATTCAATGTCACTTATGATGTTATTAGTTAGCATTCGCCTTTACACCTCACTTATTGAACTCTGCTGTCTACAACTTCTTTTCATAACTCCAAGTTATCGATCCTGAAGTCAGTCACTATGGAACACAAAACTTAACATTCGCCCTATGAGAAAAATAAACATCACTTATAATACTTAAATTTTTTTTTATTATAGCTTGATTCCAGACAGTATTTTGGTACATGTATGGAATTTTCAGCGTGTGATATCGGTAGCCCAAATTTAGCAGGCCGACCATAGATATTGGTTGTGCGTCGACGAGGGATCAAACCTCGGACCATGTGTATGGTCGGCGAGAGTCCTAACAGCTGTGCCACCGACACACATACGATCGCCAAAAACCATACTGAAGTGCCTCTGCCTCAGTATACTAAATTTGTTCAGTGCAATTTCAACAGTGTTTTATAATGAAAAGTAAACCAGGTAATATAGAGAAGTACAACAGATCCGGTAATGGTAGGTGTCTTTATGTCTTATATAGTAGGAACCACTCTGAAATCTGCAACCAGGTGGAGTACATTTACGGTAGGTAGACAATAAATTTATTGTATGTGACGATATACAACACTCTTACGAGCCAATCGCCAGTTGATATTACCGAGTGGAGATATTTATGAGTACAGTTACACTTTACACAATGAACAACTCAATTGATATGCTAAATACGCCTGTTCGTCCTTAGTACCGTCCTCTTCAGTAGGCCAAATAAATATTTGAATACGAAGACTGGCTTTTGACTCTTAGGATACAGACTCCATTAGTAAAAAACGCATCACATTTACACATTTCTAACCATATTAAAATTTGGCTGGGTGGTAGAAAATAGATTGTTCTGATTGCTGGGCGATTCGACTAGGTCCAGAAATTGGCCCAGAACCAAAGTAAGAAAAAGATGACGATATTTCACGGTCAACCAATCACAAAATGAATTCTGCAGCTATTGGTTTTAAATACTGACTACTATTTTAGCCGGCTTCTATGAAAAATATTGCTAGAGAATTTCAACAGTGCCCATCCAAGCATGAAGTTCACAGTGAAACATAAAGTCATAGGTTACCAATACCTACTGTATCACACAGCAGAAAGCTTTACTGGAGAGACAGTCACTGGAAAATAAGCTCATCAAGAAGTGTCTGGGTGAAAAATTTGAACCAACACAACTCTTTTGTAGGTTATGAAAAAGTGGCAGGACAAAAGGGGATCAGATTGTTATAAGAAATAAAGCAGAACTCCAAAAATTAGGATTAAAAGGTTACGATGTTAAAGAAAGAATTCACATGTGAATAAAAAGTTTAATGTAGAGGATCTGTCCGGCTACTATGTCCATTCTGTTTTGTAAAACACGTTGTTCAACTATGCCATGTTAACCAAATCAACTTCCGAATATAGTTAACTCCAGCTGTGTTTATCACTTCACGTGTACCCAGTGAAGGCAAGTATGTAGAAAGAATCGAGAAATTTTCTGTCATGATTGACGAATACGTTCAAAGAGTCCATACATTTTAGGTTTGAAGTCAATTAAACATGCGATGTATGGACCAACCAAAAACAACAAATGCAGCAACATCCAGCGACAATCACCATCATCGGCAGGGATTTGAAAGAGGTTACTTCATTTACTTATCTAGGGAGCATTGTCTCAACTACAGGAGGAACGGACGAGGATGTCAAACCGAGAATCGGGAAGGCGAGAAACACATTCATCAACCTGAAACCAATCTGGAAATCTTCGTCACTCAGCCTGCATCAACAACAAAATTCGGATTTTCAATACAAACGTCAAGTCAATCAGTTCTTCTATACGGATGGATCAGAAACTTGGCGGGTCACAAAGAATATTTCCAACAGCCTGTTGCAGACCTTTATCAACAACTGTCTTCACTCTATACTGAAGATCAGATGGCCGGAAAGAATCACCAACAACAAACTATGGGAACAAACAAAGCAAGAACCAGTCGCTCAACAAATATGCAGGAGAAAGTGGAGATGGATTGAACACTCGGTGAGGAGGCCGCTGGGTGAGATTGCGCGTCAGGCCGTAGCTCGAGTGTAACTCGAAAGGGAAGCGATGAGTGGTTCGTTGGTGCAAGGGTTACATGGAGGAGATCGTGTGAAGAGGAATTGAAACAGTATGGACTAACATGGATGCAGGTGGAAAGTACAGCAGAAGACAGAAGCAAGTGGAGACGTACAGTTGAAGCCTTATGTTCCACTAGGAACCCAAGGGAACAATAATAATAATAAACATGCTGAGCATAAATATCAGATGAACATTTCGAAACTTCTGGTAGCAGACAGACAAAACACTTCATGAACACCCTGAACTGCTGAAGCTGTTGTCATTCAAAGCAAAAGGCTTGAATTTTGTGTTCAATAGTTGTACACTGTTACCAACTGATTTCTCACTGGGTAAGCATTAACAGCTTCATTTTATCCCTAGAGAATTCACGTTTTTGGTTTGATTGTTTGCTATAACAATCCACTAACTGCTTTGCTATCAACTAGCGCTTTCTGATCTCTGCGATATCACTTATTTTGTTTTACCTTGTTTTGATGATTCTTCCTGGGGTTACGTAATCACTTCTTCTTCCATATTTAAATTCAAAACTATTTTACCCCTCACAATATAAAATTGTTTCTCTTCTGGTCATAATAAGCAATGCGAACATCGTCATTATTCTTTGTGATTTAGCTTACTCTTTCAAAATGGGCCTATCGTTAATTCAAAGTATGTCTTTAAGCCATACTTCTGATTACTTTTTACTTCATATTTCAGATTGTACGCAGCTCACGAAAATCCGAAAAAGTAGATGAGGTTGTACCATGCAGCATAAGTCTTCCTCAATGAGTTATTTAAGTGATGTCTGATTAGTAGGCTTTTTTCCAATCATTTGATTCGTATTCATAACTGTCCATGAAAATCACACCAATTACCAGTAAGGTCTGAGAGAAACATTACATTCATTCACGGACTTCCAAAACAACTGCAGAAGTATTTGTTTCAATTAAAGAGCATTTCCTGTTGGTTGATTTTTAA